ATTTGAACCAAAACCACAATATTTTGCAGAAGTTAAATAGCACTGGTGCTCTGTCATCCTTCACTCCTCTCTGCCTTGCTCCGTTCAGTCCAATATTGCAGCAGCCGGTCTACGAAATCTTTGATACACCAGTGGCTCTGACAAAAACAGCCTGGGCGTGAAAACATGTTAATACAGCAACTTTCATCCACACGGCTCGGACATACAGCTTTTACCTCAGTCTTCTGCTATCCCAGGGTGTAATAAAACCTTTACAGCTTTCTTAGTTTAGATCAAGTCAGTTGGAAACAATAAAAGCCAAGGCGTGTTCAGCTAGCTAGCTGAAACTGATCGAATCTGGTATTTCAACTGACAAAATTGGTGACAAATACAAATGCTTAGTCAGTCAAGAGAAGGCTGCTGTTGTTGTCGACCTGCAGGTGTGCCACGCACGGGCGAAAGCTTTGGCAGATATAAGTGTAGGGCAATGACAGTCTTAGTAAACAGTGAATAACAGTGAAGCTTTGCGTATCTGCTTTTCTAATGATCAAAAAGCAGATATGTTTTGATGTCCTACAAACGGCAGCGACTGAGGGAAGTTGTATCTCCTTAAATTGTAATTCTGCAGACGGTAGAGTAAGTGTTTGATTTGCAGATGTGTGCATCTTAGGGAAAGAGCGCTTTTGTGATGTATATTTCTGCCCGGGGGCCCAGATTTCCACAGGCCTGAAGGTACGGGCTCTGTAAGTCTTTTATAGCAGCCATGCAGGCTTGACAGGCCTTCTCACTGTGGTGCAGAATAAGACAGAATGGATTATATCTAATACCGCAAAGTCTAATTCGACAAACCTCTCCTTTCCATCCCCTGGGTCCCACTTCGCCCTGACGGAAGAAGAAAAGAGAGTGGGGAGGGAGGGGAGGACGAGAGGAGGGGGAAATAGAGAAAGACAGTTAGAAACTTCTGCTTACATCAAAGACAGTATGTCAGAGAAACCACATGAGCTGCTCTGCATTGCTGATGCAGAACTGCTCTTTTCTGTCAAACCGATGACTTACAAAACATTTTAGATGGTTATTGTAAAGCATTTTATGCATTTGCACTTTCTCTTTGTTGTAATGTGATGAAAATGTGGATTTCTTAGCCCCTAAAAACACGATCCAGTGGTAACCACAGATCTATAAAGCTTCTACACTGCTGAGTACTAGGATACAGATCGGTTGGTTGTTCCATTTTCCATGAAATGCTTCCCTTTTTGCTCCAGACTTCCTCTTTCTTTCCTGACCAGGTAATTGATTTCAATCATTTTAGGAAAGAAACTCTAAGAAACCTCACTAAAGCCATAATGCCAGGAGCTTACAGCACAATCTGCCAAAGGAACTTTCTCAATCACCCGCACTGCTGATGTAACAGGAAGAAAATCAATGTGAAATTAAGGTCAAAAACCCTACAGACATCACTGCTACTCAAAGACTCGAGAATGCATCCAGCAGTGCGACACTGTTGGTGTTGGGAAATGTTCGTGCATGTTCAGTAGCCGTTTGAGTTTCTGCTCAAACAGCAGCTCTTTGTTGCTTTCTATTCAAGTCACTGTGTGGATGCACTTCACACAGAAACTGAGCTTTGCAGTCAAAGGACTCGCAGCATTTGTGGTTTCAGTTTTACAGAATTCAAGAGTTTCAGTTACCCTTCTTTGTCATTGGTCA